TGTTAGTAGTGAAGAGATGACCATTATATCGTTGTGATGCCTTGTTTTACTAGTTAGTAGTGAAGAGATGACCACTAAATCACAGCGATTCTCTGTTTTACTAGTTAGTAGTGAAGAGATGATCATTATATCATAGTGAAATATTATTTTACGTGTTAGTAGTGAAGAGATGACCATTATATCGTTGTGATGCCTTGTTTTACTAGTTAGTAGTGAAGAGATGACCACTAAATCACAGTGAAGCATCTTGTTAAAAAAAAAGGCTTTAAAATGGAGAAGAGCTATTCTTGGCCCTATCGAAAAAGATTCTATAGAAATTAATTCTTCGGGTTTACCAACTTGACTACAAAGTGAATGTCTAAGCATATTTCATGAATATTGTAAGATGCTAAGAAGAGAGAAGATTGACTTCCATCATAAAGTTATCCATGTCCCACCTGGTAATCGTAGTATGTATCATAGATGGCTGGTTCAGGATAATAAGACAAAGCGATATGATGGTCCTCCTTTGTTCAAGTAGGATAGGCCGGCTCATGATAGGCCGGCTCATGATAGGCCGGCTCATGATAGGCCAGCTCATGATAGACTGGCTCATGATAGGCCGGCTCATGATAGACCGACTCATGTGGTCCTTTATACTGATACAATTGTTTGAAACTTTCATTAGAATAAGTTACTGATTTGTAAATGTTTCAGTGATCATATTTCTAACTTGACCTTTAACTTGAGTGATTCGTACCAGTGGTAAATTTACATCACCAGAAATACTTGGTTCCACAGTACTTGTGTACACATAGAGTGAATAAAATACACCGTACATGTTAACCGTGTACGGAGCTACAGTAGGCTCTGTTATAATGTGGTTATTATCAAAGTAGTACAGAATGGACATTAATGGATGTTCTGTCATTCACGTTCCCGCCCTTTTTTGTGTGTGTGTGAACGAATCATAAGGAAATATAAGTTCCTTGTGGGTTTAGGAAGTGAATTCTTATACTTGGTTTAAGATCCTATTAAATTTTCAGCTTCATTTTAATGATATGGTCTGATATAATTAATTACAGTAGCAGACTGAGGGCTTATAAAGTAAGAAATCCATCCTGTACTGTTAGATACGTTATGTTAACCATGAGAATACTGTAATTTGGTCAAGGCCACTTCCCATGAATTTTCATGTTTTGTAGGACGATGAGTGGCATAATTCGACGGAGTATTGTTGGAAATGGTTCATAGAACTGTTACTAGGCAACATCACGTACAATTGAATAATAATAACACAGGCCTGCGATGGTTTTATTGTTTCGACATTTTGACGTGTTCTACATTAATTCCTGTACGCTGAATCCGAAAATGATACCCGTTTTTCTCCACCGCGTACAGACTTTTCACAAAACGTTATATGTACTTTTACATAAGTGAATAACTTTCTTTGAAATCGGGTCACATTTTGTTATGCTTAATATGTTGACAACCACTCACTATAGAGTTTTCTAGACCAATCACGACGTGAGAGTCTTATCGATCGTTCTAGAACCCAAACATAATAAACATGATAATAAAAAAAAACGTTCTTTGTGGTGAAAGAAATAATAATTTGTTCTAAACTGTTGTTTTTGACCTAAGTTGTTGTAAGAGTTGTTGTTTTTCTTCCCGATTTGTAAAAATTCCCTACGTGATAAAAAAAAAATCGAAATATGTGTAGCTGAATTATGGAAAAACTTTATTAAAACCAAAATAACTTTTATGAAGTTTAAATTAGCAGGCCTTGTTACAAGGATTATACTTAACATTTTATGACTACAGACAATTCAGACCTGATCAAGGGATCCAGCAATTAAACTGTTAGGATATCCGTTCCATTTTACTAAATACTGTTTGTTTTTAACATCGTTCTTTATCCTCGTTCTCATAGTACTTCTTCCACAGCTTGAGGACTGGATTACTCGTTAGAGTTCACATTCTTAACATGTTCCACCTAAGATTCCTCAAAGATAGTCTCGTTTTTTGTATAGTGGATGATTTTTGTCTAATCTAATTGGGATCGTAAAGATATCTAATAATTCAGGATTGTAACCTGTATCAACTTGACGCTTCACTTGATTGCCCACTCTCAACTTAAAGTTTCCTTTGGTGGAATATTTGTAGAGAGTCTTCCACCCGATAGACTGATTAGAGTAATTAGTCCCTCCTGTAAAGCCAGCCTCATTTTTAAACTTGATAAGAAGGTTCTGTTACTCTTGGCTGTTTCTGTCACAAACACACAGAAACTATACAGATTAAAAAAAAAAGCCAATAGGCACAAGTTCTCTGTGCTACATGCTGCAAGGTCTCAACTCGACGAGTAATCGAGATTATGCTTGAGCACTTTGCTACACGGTGAACTTTATACATCAATAACTTTAAATACTCATATTCAGTGGTTTACAAAACGTTGCTATATGCAACATAAACATCACTTGGCCCATACGCTGCATGAGACGACGTTCTGTTTGCATATTCCTAATACTAGTATCTTTGTAGAGGTCATTGAGCGATATGTATTTCAGAATTTCTAACTGTCTCTCCTAGACTTATGTCAACTGATCAGTGAGTATCACAAATGCTTTCAATAGGAAATTAACACCGAGAAACGGAGAAATAGTTGATTAGTTGTTGTGTGTTTTTCCACAAAGC